GCCGGGGCGTTGAACCGCGCGGCGGGGCCGGGAGCCAGGGATCCGCCGGAGAGCGGCGGCCCGGGACGGCTGCCGGAGGGGCGGCCGTGCGTGGATGCGGCGGGAGCCCGAAGCCTCGAGCAGCCGGCGCCGACTCTGCCCCCGGGCGCCCTATGGCTTGAAGGTAAGCACCAACCTGATAGAGCGACGGGCGGCTCGGGCACCAGGTGGGGTCACGGAAGAGAGGGAGCGCTGAGGACTGCGCCGAGGACCGGGACAGGGGCAGGGGCCGGGGCCAGAAGTTTGTCCGGTCACTCCGGAGCCATCCCTCTCCCTCCGTCCGCCCTGGCGCGAATCCTCGCCCACGCACAGCGGGTGCGACTCGCGCAGTTCTCCGCCGAGAGCTGAGTGAGCCCCTCGGAGGGCACCAGGTCCCGACGACCTGGGCGGGCACTTTCCGCCCTGCACCGGAGCCTGGGATCCTAGGGCAGATAGCCAGTTTCCTACTACCTCAAAAGAAGAAGAAGGGCTGTTTGGGGCAACTCTGTATCGGTGACCGATAAAAATCGAGAGTTTTTAGTTTCAAAGGGCAAAAGCCAAAGGATAGGACAGAAGGCTATTTTCGCCCGCTTCCGTGTTTAACGCTGTCCATGGTCCTGAATATCCGTTTTTTTCTGTCTAGTTTTTGAGCTCCGTTTGGGGTCCTGGGAAGTGCGGGTGACTGTGGGGACAGTAGCAGAGGCGACTGTTCAGTTCTGGAATGGCCCGTGAGTCCCTCTAGGTCGGAGTCCACAGACAAGAAACATCCCTGAGCTCCAGATAGACGTCTTCCCATCCCTGTCTGTGGCAAGAAGCCTGTGAACGCATCCTCTTGAGGTGCAGAGGCGAGAGGCTGCCTGTGCATCCACACAGCAGTCTTCACCATGGACACAGCGACAGCGTGCTACCTCCGTAGGGATGAGCCCTCGCTCTCAGCCGCAGGGAAGCTCTCTGAGCAAGTCACTCTAGGCCCACCTGGCACCTCAGTACTTTTGGTACTGGGCTTCCTGAGGGCAGGGGAGATACAAGGTGCTTTGCAGATCTTCTCCCAGATCCTTATGCACATCCAGTTGTTTCTCACTTTTGGCCAGGCTGCAAACCTTTCAGTGTACTCCTTGCTCCTCTCTCCGGAACTAGACATTCAGCGATCCTTCCCACCACCAGATGCAAATACCAGTGCTTGTCTCTGATTCATCCTGCAGGATTAGGACCACTTGAAAAAAAATTCTTTTCATTTTTTTCCCCCAAGTGCTGCTGTTTGATGAGGTTGAGCAGAGGAAGGTCTTTGTGAAATATGACCCATTTCAAGAGAATCAGCTAGCTGGTTTGTTGGGTTTCAATCCTTGTCTTGGACTTCTTTACTTTGTATTCAAAATAGCATATTTGTTTCCAGGAATGTTGACACTGTCTCTGGACTCAGACAACTGAGGTTTGGAAGGGTGAGGCTTACCTAGTGCTAAATGAGGGTCATGGCCTCCCCATCCTTGGTCTCTTGAAAAATGCTCTGAGTTTCTTCCACCTTCCTTGCACAGCCTGAAGATGAAAGGTGACTGGGAAATGGAGAAATTCTGATCTGTTGCAGAGGTCCTAAGCAGCATTTCTATAAGAGGTTTTTTAAAAATGAACTCTGTGCATCTGAATCATCTGGGAATCTTTTAAAGATGCATAGTTTTGCTTCTTCCCTGAAGAAATGCTGAGTGAGAATCTTAAGCTGAAGCCCAGAAGCTTATATATTAGCAATATTTCTGGACGGTTGGTATGTACACTGGGTTAGGGAATCACTTCTCATAAAAGTTCAGACTCCTTAGAGAATCTGTGCATGTTTTAAAATTAAGGGATTTGATTTATGCCATTATCCCCTGAAGTTATGCATGCTACATTTGTCAAGTAAGAGGTTGTCAGTTGAAGGATTATCCAAATGAATCAATCCCTTTGCTTAACTAAAGGATGGGGCTGGACCTCTCTCCCAGGATCCTACTGGGATTTTTTTCTTTCTAAAATAGGTTCTTGACTTCCTTAGGAATCACCAATATGGCTGCAAGTGGATTTGAGTAAATACTAAGTGCTCCACTGTGGGGCCAATCTAGTGTGTCACTCCTACCCTCTCCTTCTGCGTGAGTTGTGGTCTTTTGTTATGAACTTGCTGTGATCTGCAAACTCAACTACTCCCCAAATGCCAAGGAATAATCATGTCAGCCTAATAGTACATCACATTCCCTCAGGCCAGTGGCCACTCATGCCCTCCTGGCAGTGGCATATTGACTACATTGATTAAATTCTTGTGCTCCACGAACAGGCAGGCTTGTGGAGGTGAAGCAGCCAGTGATGATGCTTGTAGCTAGCCAGTCTTCTACTTTGCTTGAAGCTTTTGGATTATTTCTATCTAAATTATGCAATTATAATTTTGAGAGTGATGTCAAAGAACCTGAAAATACAAAAAATCCTCCTGTTCTTCCTCTTGTACCAAGAGATGCAAAAAGGAGCTCAGGGCATCATCAGAAATAGGGCTTCAAATGCCACTGGGATTGACCTGCTGAAGCCAGACTGGTGTGACGTCACCATTCTCTGAGTAAACAGGAATAAGGGGAAAGATATATGAACTCTGCCTGGAGAGAGGCCTCTCCATCTACTCATCAAGTGGAAGTCATACTGTGATGCTGAGACAGAGAGTGGTTGTGAAGTGGTTGTGTGTGTGTGTGTACACGTGTGCATGGAGGGGGGTAATGGAATCTCCTTGTGCCAAGTCTGTCCTCCTAGTGTCTCCTATTTTCTGACCTGTGGCTCTCTTATTCTCCCTCTTCTGTGATTTAATGCTTATGAATCTCCAGCAACGAAGGGGTTTAACACTTAGGGAACAGAGAATGAAAGTTGAGATTTTGTCAAGATCCCAAGCTAGGTATGCAATATCTCTCAGAATCATTGTCTATCAGCAGGTCACACTAACATAAGATTTGACATCTTAAAAAGAATGTAGAAGATGGCCCAGTCGCTTGCATTTATGCCGACACATTATTTACAGGACTTTCAGTTTCTTAGATTACTTGGGCCCTTGAGACGTTTTTCTGTACGTCTCTGTGTCCTAAAAGGGCATTTTTCTGGAAATACTCCGTATCTCTCCTACTATTAAAGTTATCTCAAAAAACAATGGTATCAAATTTCTAGGGCCTGGGTCCAAAGCTTAGACTTGTCAGCCCAGCTTCTTCATCCCAGCAAGTGCTCTACCTTTTGGAAACCACAAGCCACAGAAAGGGCACAACTCAGTTTAGCTTCTCAGTCACCAATTTCCTCTATACGTGATCTGGTACATAGATGACCCTAGCGCAGTATCCCTTTCTCCCACCTTCCCTTATCAAGAATGCATCTTGTGGCCCTAGGAAAATCATAGATTTGGCTGTGAAAGGATATCTGTCTATGTGTCAGTGCGTCTGTGTGTCTGTCTGTCTGGAATGAATGTATATTCATTACAAATCTCCCTGATGCATGATGGAATTGCTAAATATGTTGCTCACTTGCCATTTTGGGTAATAGATGGAGATTGTCTCCATCCTTTTTTAATTCCTGTAATATTATTAAAAGCCAACATTTGTATACTCCTGCCTCTCACTTATCTCCATCACCAGTGAAATTTTTCTTTCTTTTTTCTAAACAAGGCTTTATTTATTTATTTATTTATTTATTTATTTATTTTGAAGAACCAGGGATTGAACTCAGTCCCTTGTGCTTGCCAGGCAAGTGCTTATCCTACTGAGCTATCTCCCCGACCCCCTAAACAAGGCATATTTAAACTAACTGTGTAGACCAAGCTGGACTTGAGCTCAAGATGATCTTCCTGCCTCAGACACTCAACTAATGGGATTGCATCCTGTTTTTTTTTAACAATAGAATCATAACATCTAAATGCATACGTGTGGAAAATAGCTTGACTACAGAGCTAGTATAATGGAGGTGGAAGAGAAATAAAACTATAAGACACAATCACTTGGCTTGTTTCTGTTTGGGTCCAGAGAAGAGAAAGAAACTTGTCTTGTGACCTGCTCTTCCCCCTCTGTCTCCTTCACCTCAGCCTGACCAATGGGTTAGCACCCTTAGCAGCCAGGGTGCCTCTGAGAGTGTGCACCCCCCCCTTCCTAAGAGACATGGGAATGCATCTCTGCAGAGCAGCCAAGGCTCCCGCTGGCTCTGTATGGGAGGAGTCAGTGATGACTCACTAGGGCCTAGGTACTCCCTTCTCCCCAGATAGAAGCACCTGCCCTGCTGAGGTGCCCCAAACTCAGAGACCCAGAGGCTTCTGGGAATGTTTTGTAGATTACTGGGCAATATATGAAGGTGGGAGCAGAGAAGAGTTCCTGGGAGCTCTCAGAATAGACTGATGTTAAATATGCATTGGATATAGACAATGGCTTAGTGCATTAGAGTAATTTTGTTATAATTTGTTGGTACCTGCAAGGATTTTCACTTTTCCCAAGAGGAGACAAGGGAAGTATTTGTTGTTCATAGACAGGCCAAGGGAAGACGGAGCCTTTGTTTTCCTGGAACCCACTGAGTGATGTCACAATGCTCATAGACAGGATGTGAGCCAAGCCAGGAGACTCAGCCCCAGGGGCCTCTGCTCAGTCCTGCCTTCCAGGACTTCCCTCAGTCCAGAGCTGTGATGTCTGGGAGACAAAATGTGTCCTGGGGTTTGTCCGCTGGTCACCAGGCTCCTTCAGAACATGCCTGCCCTTCTTGTTTCCACCCCCGGCTCATTGTTATTGTTTGGGTCTAAGTGGCCCAGCAGGGGAAAAGCATTAGAAATGAAATTATTTTTGTTGCATGCTGTATAATTGCCTCCATTCCTTCCTGTTACCCCAGGCAGCAACATCACTAGCAACTCCTCAGGAAGCCTGAGTCCTGGGAAGTGACTTACTCTGAAGCATCCTTGGAATGGTTGCTTTGGGCAGGTGGTTCTGTTGAGCAGTTGGTCCCTCCATGGCAGGCCCCATCATCATAACAACCCTTATGTGTCATACATGTGCTATGTGCTATGTCATACTCAGTGTTCAGCCCTTGACATGTGCCTTTTTTTTTTGAGGAACTGGGGATTGAACTCAGGTCCTTGTGCTTGCCAGGCAAGTGCTTATTCCACTGAACTATCTCCCTGGCTCC